GCATGGTATGTCAACAGGTTAAGGCAGAACACCAAAGATCGGCTGGATTGTTAAATCCACTGGACATACCCGAATGGAAATGGTAAAATATCACAATACACTTTGTGGTTGGATTCTCGAATTCGACAAGAGGAAACAACGCTGTATGGGTAATAGTGGATCGATTAACAAAGTCAGCTCATTTTCTTCTAGTGAAAATGACATTCAGTTTAGACCAATTGGCACAGTTGTACATTGAGATTACATGGCGTACCTGTGTCCATTGTGTCTGACAGAGACCCAAGGTTCACGTCCAAATTTTGGAAAAGTCTATAAGGAACTATGGGAACGAAACTAAACTTTAGTACAACATATCACCCTCAGTCTAATGGTCAATCTGAAAGGAGCATCCAAACTTTGGAAGACATGCTGAGAGCATGTGTTTTGGATCTAGGGGGTAGTTGGGAGTCATACATACCCCTAGTAGAATTCGCATATAATAACAGCTTCCAAGCAACTATCGGGATGGCACCGTACGAAGCTCTCTATGGTAGAAGATGTAGGTCCGCTGTTCATTGGGATGAAGTCGGGAATAAGAGAGTTTTGGGACAAAAATAATTGAAAGGACAGTTGAGGCAATCGATAAGATCCGTATAAGGATAAAGGCAGTACAGGATCGACAAAAGAGTTATGCGGATACAATGAGGAAGGATTTAGAATTCAAAGTTGGAGAAAAAGTGTTTCTGAAAGTGGCACCGATGAAAGGTGTACTTAGGTTTGGCAAGAAATGAAAGCTACGACCCCGCTATATCAGACCATTCGAGATACTTGATAGGATCGGAAATGTAGCCTATCGGATAGCTCTCCCACTTGGGTTATCGGCAGTGCACAACGTGTTCCATGTATCAATGATTAAGAAATACGTGCATGACCCTAATCATGTAGTGAACTATCAGTCCGTGGAAGTACAAAAGGACTTATCCTATGAAAAGGTACCAATGAGGATATTGGATCGAAAGGTGCATAAACTAAGGAACAAAGAAATTCAATTGGTCAAAATACAATGGAATAATCATGAAATAGAAGAGGCCACTTGGGAAAGGGAAGAGGAAGCCAAAAACAAGTATCCAACACTATTCGTCCAATCAGAAGGTAACTTTCGAGGACAAAATTTTAATTAAGGTGTGGGGGATGTAGAACCCCAAATAATTTTAAACACCTTAGTGGCACTAAGACATGAATATTGGATGGCTAAAGTATACTTCAGATTTTTAGTCTCATTTGAGACCCATTTACGACATAGAAAACATTCAATTTGGAAAATGATATCTAAAGAAAAGTTGTAGCTCTTTGAGTTAGCTTTCCAACTCACTTTGAATTACCTCAATCGAATATTGGGAGAAGAAGTTATGATAGAAATACTAAAGGCTGTACAGTATCAACTGAAGTACAAAAGTCAAATTCCTACATGATTTTCTCGCACCTTTTTAAACCTATAACTCCCACATAAATGGCACCCGTATTAATGAATATTAGGCCCTTCACTTGCCCTTAAGTTGTGAGATTTTCACTTATAAGTAGGCCCCAACGCATACACATTTTTCACATCAAGACAAAAGCTTCTAAGCATAAAAGAGAGAGTTTTCGAGTCTAGAAAAAAGAGAAATGAGAGGGAGGAAAATTAGTTTTTCCTAGAAGTTTTGGTGTTATCAAGAAGTGTTTTCTAAGCATCAATTCTCAATGGAGTGTTTTTTTTTTGAAATATCAAAGGAGTGCATTTTCAACAAGATTCAAAGCATCAATCAAGATAGGTAGAGGTTCAAAGTGTTAATTTGTGTTAAGTTATAAGTTTCTAGCAAATGAAGATTTATGTTAATGTTTGTATGTCTAATGGTACCTCCGGGTACGGCATGTACTTCCAGTCGAGGCGTCGTGTTAAGTCATGACTCAACGTGTTTGGGATTCTACCGAAAATCCTATTATGAAAAAGTTTCTAAAATTACAGTTTTAAAATGTATAGCTTGATCACGAATGCACCAATGATATCTATTAAGTTTTTTTAACTCACGGGTTTAATCTCTTCTCTAAAAATTGATATGGTTCTACCTTGAGCCTGAATGATGAAAAAGATGGAGAGTGATGCAACGAGCCCATAGAAAATCCGGTGAACAAGTTATTTAAATTTATTTTTGTGAACGTTTTCAATGTTATTTCTTTAAAGTATTTGAATAACGCTGAACGCGAGAACAAGTTGTGTTTTCTTCAAATAAATTACGTTCCGTTATTTTTTTTATTCAGTGTTTTATTTAAAGTATTCGAAAGGTTGTTGTTAAAATTATCATTGTAAAAATTAAGTTTCCGCTAAAACATATTCTCCTATAACTAAACTACCGGTTAGTTAAATAAAGTAAGTAGCGTTTCGATCTACAAGGGGTCGGGGCGTTACATGGACACAGCCGGCTGTTTCCAGTCACCCTGGATAATTGGACCAGCTAGAAACATCCGGCCCAGATTTTTTGGCCAACCGTTTAATCTGGAATTTACGCTCGAATTTTTTATTTTTTCCCCTTTTCAATGAAATAATGTTTAAATATTTATTTTACAGACACCTATAAATTTTTCCTGTAAAATATATGCATACAGAGATGATTTTTTTTGCTATAAAAAATTATACATCTGTGTTTAAATACTGTAAAATTCGTCTGCCTTTATAAAAAAAGATTTAAAGATTTAAACAGTAAATTTAACTAAAACAAAATTAAAAATACGCATTTACCCTTACCAATTTTCAGTGCCGACTGTGATTATTGTTTCTTTGTTGAACTTTTGATAATTTTGGGAGATTTCAATATTCTAGCAGATAGAAAGAAAAATTTCTTTTTTACTATATTGGAAAAACTGATAAGCAAAATTGATTTTGAAATTTACGTATGGAAGTGACTGAATTTATTTAAACTTTTAAAGGTATTATTATCTTTCAAAGAATTAATATATTTTTATAATTGTGAAATATAAATAAGGGTACAATTGTCTTTTTATTGACAAGAGGCCAATGTGATCAATACAAAAAAAAAAATAAAATGATCAAACTACAAAATTGATTGTTTGACTAAGCCAATTTAAAAAGTACCCCACAGCTACCTGCGCGGCTGCGTGCATTTTATTTTGTAAAGTTATATAAATTAAAAAGAAATCATTCTTTATTCGCCTACTTTATTCCTGTGTTGCTTGTTTCGGCAAATTACCCTGGTTTCATTCCGTGATTGAAGCCGAATGCATAAACAGAGAATCGGGAACTCCATGTGGCACCTTCAATGGTTTCTTCCAGTGTAGAAACACCAGTTTTTATCAATACAAATTTGGGTACTCGAATTTCTCTACCTATTTTCCCAGATATTACAGCTAAGGAGTTCAAGAGTAAGTAACTTTTCGTTATTTTCAATTTCCATTCATCTTCACCATTTACTAATCTCTCTCTCTCTCTCTCTTCAATGGTTTCTTCCAGTGTAGAAACACCAGTTTTTATCAATACAAATTTGGGTACTCGAATTTCTCTACCTATTTTCCCAGATATTACAGCTAAGGAGTTCAAGAGTAAGTAACTTTTCGTTATTTTCAATTTCCATTCATCTTCACCATTTACTAATCTCTCTCTCTCTCTCTCTAATTTTAATTCTGCATTTGCTTAGTTTCACAATGTGAAGAAATTATACCAAAATTAATTTTTAATCGGTGTTAACCTGCTTAAAAATCGAAACTTTATGGCGGAAATGGAACAAAGAATCAGTATTGAAGAATAGCCGGATGAAAAACTTTCTGAACTTGTGCACAAGTGGGAAGTAGCTATTGTATTTGCCTCAGAATTTGAATATCGATGCCCTTCCTTTTCTGTGCAGGAATTTGAGTTAATAAGATAAATGCTCATTAAATTTTGTCCTGGGTTACTACTTACTCGTTGAACAAAAAAAGTTGCTCACTCCACCCATTGCTCACTCATCTATTCAAATTATTTCCCATTCATCACGGTAGAAGATCCGTTACTCCGACTCGACTGAACAGAAATGGCCACATGTGATGAAATTCGACGTGGCAATGTGAATTCATGTAACTGGGCGCCAACTAAAATGACACTTTCTTTGTAAGTTTCCCAATTTTACAAAGAAAGTGTCATTTTAGTTGGTGTGTTTCAGTTGGCATGAATTCACATCGCCAAGTTGCCACGTCTTATTTCCATTGACACATGGCAATTTCCGTCAAGTCGGAATAATGGATCTTACCATAGTGATGGATGTTTAACAGTTTGAATAGACGAATGAGCAATGGATAATAATTTTTTGTTTCATACGTAGTACCTATGACAAAGTTTAATGAGCTTTCGTTTCATTAAACTTTCGGCTATTTGGTTGTGTTAATTATATTTGTATCTTTTTCTTGTATGGGATTAAAATTTATTGCACGCACTCTCGAGGCAATTTTTTCGTGAAATGTTACCACATTAATGTCTTTAAGGAACCAACTTTGACCTACATATTTTTTTCTTGATGAGGCACACTCTTTGACTTGAAAACTACTAGACATTGGAAGAGTTCCTCTTTTCCCGAGAACGAGTCTTATTTAAGCTTTCCAAATGGTAATCAATCTCTCAGACACTTATTTAGTTATCTTTTATGATATTTGTTCCTGTTTAGGATCATTGTTGTGGCCAAGCTTTATTTTCTATCTCTACTGTATGTTCGTGATATCAATCAGACTTGAAATAACCAAATCTTTAGCCTGTCCACAATGCCAGGCATTAGATATTGAAGATTTAACCAATGGAAACAAAACTTGGCTTAAATGAATTTCAGCAAGCAAATCAAAAACCGTTATTTTCCTGGTAACTTATAGTCGATGCTGGCATTCTGGTGGACTTGAATAATTGTCCTGTTCATCTTCTATTACTGTCTAAATGACAAGTGTTTATTATATAACTTGTGTTGTTCATTGGTATATGTCGATTTGTGTTAGTGCTATCTTATCTTTTATAATCTCAACTACCGTGACGTAGATGTACCAAGGTTATGAAAGCAGAATTGTTTCATAAATATAGAAAATTTGGAAGGAGATAGAAGAAAGCAATATTTGGCATTAATAATGACATGGATTCTTGAAAAAATACTTTGGCTCCTTAAGATTGCAAAAAAGTAATTAGTATCACTTCTTCATTGCAGGAAAGCTTGAAAAGGCACATCTAAGTTGTTTCCCAGAAGTGGGGAAAATCCGGGTAAATGGGTTACTGGTATGCCTTGTTTCCTTCATTTCTTAGTTCAATATTTTTAATGGAAATCTACTCGTCTTTTCGTTGGAATTGGTGTTTCTTTTAAACATAAGCTTCATTTTCTGGGAACTATAACAGGTAAAGAGGAAATCATACCACTACCACCTTTCCGAGTCATTGCCTCTCAAATATGCTTTTCAGGGCTCAAGAGGTGCTTGGTTTCTCCAAATTGAAGCACATAAAAGGGGCATTTCTAACAAAATAGATTCAATCAAACGCAATGGCACTAAAGGTTTCATTAATATTTCCCCTGGTGATGGTGTTACTGGCCCATTTGAATTCAACGGTTTTATGTGCAGTGATAAGAATAAGTTGAAATTCAAAAGGAAAAAGAGGAAGATTCTTGAAGGTTCCTACACTAGACAGTTTCTGGAGAAGGAAGAAGAGGGGGAGAGAGTGAAGAGAAAGCTCATATTTGGATGCTCAGAACAAAGCTACAAGCAATGCCACCTTCTTTCCGAGAGGCTTGGTCAAGCTGCAGTTAATTGGAGCAACAAGTGGGATTCCCATGCAGCAGAGGCACCTAGCGAGACGTTATCAGAATCAATATCAGTTTCAGGAATTATCAAGAAATACTTCTCAAATAATGATGAAGTGACGTCAAGGTCAGGTCTATCTTTTGCAGCAGTCCGGAGTAAACATAAAGAAAAGCCAAAGGCTATAATAGATTGCAAGTTCGCGAACGTTCAGTTGGATGTAGCTTCACCAGTCACATGCAAAACACCTCTACAAATGCCTCATTCTCCATGGAAAGACAATACTAGTTCTGAAGCCTCGAGTTACAAATGTAAA